AAGTAAGTAGTAAATAAGGTTAAGTTAGTTACTTACTTAACGTTAAAGTTAAATTATACTACTTAGTCGTACTACGTAGTTAGTTAGTAGTAAGGTAACGTAGACTCTCTCTCTCTCTCTCTCTCTCTCTCTCTCTCTCTCTCTCTCAAATAAGCTGAAGTCGGCCAAGTTCCCCCAACAATGAATTACTCTCCGCACAGTAAATGCCACCATTAACACAACCATGGAAGGTAATGTAGAAGCACAAAGTGATTGCTTTTAAAACAAACACGTGCATTATTAATTTGTTCAATGAGAAAGGGATTGATTGGTTAGACTATTCTAAGAAAAATCAAATGTTATGCATGCCCTAGACCGAGACCAAGCAGTTAACACTGAGCTTGTTTGTTAAATTTGCCGATAAAATGTCAAGATTCATTTCTGTAATTTCCGAAACCATTTTCTCCTTACATCACAATATTACTATTATTTTCCCGTATTCTGATATTTATTTTACAAATTAAAGCTAAACCCCTGACTCCTAAAAAGTCTTAAGAAAAAAAACGATTTGAAAGGAAAACAGAAAAATGTCAGCAATAAATGGCAAGCTTGATCCCCAAATCAGCTATTAAAACATTAAAACCCTTAGAATAGTGCTCACTGTTGTTATAGGAAATTCCCAGGGATTTCTTCCATCAAAAGTTCAAAATGAAAAAGAAAATCATGGAAAACCAAATGGAAATAGAAGTGTTGCTATTACGGAATCGACAAATCATAACAATCAGAAAGAAAGAAATCAGAAATTTCTAAATTCTATTTCCCAAGAAATATGAATATCAACCTAAATATTGAAGCATTAAAAAGAAAGCTTCCTTAAAGTGAACGACATATGCCCCATTTTTGCTGCCATCAACAAATTTTACCTGAGAAATTCAAGAAAGACAGATATTTGGAGATAATTTGAGAAACTTACAAGGAAGAGAGAGAAATTCCTCTAAATCCGGCCAAATTTAGCCTGATTCTTGACAGAAGTCAGTGAATTTCGCTGGATATAAAACCCTAGATTGTACGGATGGCCGAAATATGAGAAAAATTCGCCTTACGGAAGGAATTTGCAGTAAAGAAAGAGAGAAAATATAGATGAAGAGAGAGAAGCGGGTTAAAAGAAGGAAAGCTAGGGTTTTATGGGTGTGAGGGAGCGTCGCAGAGACTCTTTCACTAGGGTTTTTACAGGGAAGTGTGAAAGAAAAAGGAAATGAATTAAAAAGAGGACCGTTTGAATTTGAACCAACGGCTACTTCTCGATACTCTTTGATTGGCCGTTTTCGGTGGACTCCCCAGAATGCCCACCTGATTTCCTTCAATTATCGAGAATACCCTATCCACATATTCTTACGCAGACCCCCCTCCCTCAACAAATAGAATAGAACGTAATTTTTTTTTTTCTTTTTCTTTTTCTTTTTCTTTTTCTTTTTTTTTGTGATAGAAAAAATGTCTCCTGTTTATCAAGTGCCATTTGGTTGAAGCTTCATGGCCACTGTTAGGGTGGGGCCCCTATTCTATGTCAATATCATGATGACCCCTATAAATTCATATTCTTATTAATAGAAGACCTGAAATTTAGTTAAAATATCTGCAAATCAACTTTCGCAAAAAAAAAAATAAATAAAAAAGATAATTAACGTAAAAATCACTATGACAAATAACATGTGGAAATGTCTTCCTCATAATTAAACTTTTGGAATTTAGAAAACAATCCTGATATTTACGAATTTTAAGTCGAGGTCCCTTTTCTTATCATAATTTTTATAGGCCCATAATATCGTCAATCCGGGTTACTTGAATTTTAGGTTGGGTTCGATACTGTTAAAGCAATTTATTCATTTATTTTTATTTTTATTTTTATTTTATTTTATTTTTTGAAAAAGCAACTAGGCACTTGAATTGCAAGAAGCAATTTTTGTGAAATAGTGTCCAGTAACCACTAGAAAAGCTATTGGGGGAGGGGGGAGGGGGAAAGGGGTGCGGATCAGGGGTATAAAAGAGGGGATGTCGGACCAGTAATTCAAAATTTAATAGATCGGTTAAATTTTGGGGCAAAGAGAGCTGACCATAAACAAGGACCTCCGGGTCCAATTTATAAATGCAATTATTATTTTCAATCTGAAAAGAAAAAAAATTACATTATTTCAGAAGATCCTTATCATTTTCATAAATAAAAATGGTTTGTTAATTTTTAACAAGGGAAATTTATGTACGGACTGGGTTTTTATACTGTTATAACGAAATGACTTGAAAATAGCCTGTTATTATCTGAAAGGACGGATCTCTTAATTTTTTTTATTTTGCCAAGTTTACCCCCGATCTGATTTTTCAAACATCGGACTGCTTGATAATCCTGATACTTTTCATTTTTTGTCAAGTTTGCCCTAAGATTTTTTATTGAATCAAAAAAATTCAACAGGAAGTGATCAGTTCTAACATCGGACCTCTTGAGTAACTTACAAAACATAATGCAGTTTGATGTTAGAACCATTGAACTGCTTGATTTTCATTAAAAATGTCAACAGAAGGCGGTCTGATGGTTCTAACATCGGACGCTTGTTTAACTAAAAAAATTCAATAGCAAGCGGTCCAATGTTAGAACCATCAGATCGCTTGATTGTCATAAAAAACCACAATATAATGCGACTTGATGGTTCTAACATCAGACTGTTTGGTTAACTTACAGTGATTAAAAGTAATAAAGAGGTCTTTTATAATTACTTATAGTGATTAAAAGTAATATAAAACAGAAATATGATTTTATATCGAATAATTAAAAGTAATAAAGTGATTGAGACATTTCAATATAATTTTTTTTGTATATAGAGGTCTCAATTACTTTTAATCATTGAATATAAAATTCAATAAATGAAAGTATGTCATAATATTAAAAAACTTTTATTTGAGACTTTGTGTTTAAATAATAACACATCATCAACCACTCAATTTCAAATTTAACAATAAGCTATAATTGTGAACTCCTCGTAAATCATATCATGTACATTTCCTTTAAAGCGTTGGACCCATCTTTTCAGTAAAAAGAAGTGTCATATGGCCCCATGGGTCCACCACCTAAAGTGCCACCCTCCCTCCCATTGTTGGGCTTGACCCTTCAAAACACCAAAGAAAATCTTAATCTTCGAGGTTGTGGTCCTTTCGACCACCAATGTCTAAATGGTCCACAAATTGGGCTTGGGCTCTACTGGTTTGCAGATGACATTAGCAATGCTATCTCATATTTGATTCCTACCACTGAACTACCCAAAAAAAAAACAACTCTAAATAATCTTTCAATCTACGGAGCTATGGTCCCTTAAAATGAAGGATCATTTAAACATTGGCAGTCCAAAGGATCACAACTTATAAGACTTAATCTCCTTGTTGAGTTCAAGGTTCGCCAACCATTTTGAGTTAGAAGTAAGAAATTTTGGTTTGCAGGGTACAATTTGAGCAATAATTTTGACAAGAAAAAAGGACTCGGCATAAATGTAAAATTTACCGGACTTTTTAATTCTAAAAATAAAAAGGGGGTAAGTTAATGTATAAAAAAGATTTAAAGAGCTGCAAAAAAAAAGGGTTTTGGTGGTCCTCTATGGTGAACTCTCATTAATATGGTGTCGAGATGTTTAAATAAAGCAATGTTCAGAAGCTCGACTGCCGAGCCGAGTGGACTAATCCAAGTCTTGCACAACCCAAAAAAAGGCAAAAGAATAGGTAACAAGAAATAAAAAATAGTTAAAAATAAGAAAAAACATAGTAGATGAAAAATCATTAGAGGTTTAAAAAGATGGAAAAAGTCTGTAAAAGATGGATTAATGAAAACTTTTTATTTACATCTTGAATATCTTTAAAAATTTATGAAAGAAAAAAAAAAAAAAGTTCTCAAATCATCTTAAAACTAATCGAAATCATACAAAAAACTAGTCGTAAATAATATGGTGATATTTTTAAATTTTGATACTTTATTTTATTTTTTCCCTCCTTAATAAGGGTGGGACGAGTTGCTGTCAAACTCAAGCCACTCAACTTCGCGGTGAAGCAGACTCGGGCGAGTCACGGATAAGTGAAATAAAGTTTTGAGATATCATTTAACATGGAGCGGTGTTGAGACTTAAGATATTGAGGGAAAATAACAAGATCCTCTCCTTCCATAGTTAAGAGGGGCCAAGTGGTCTCTCATGACCACCATACAAGCCTCTCAAAAGGTCTTACTCATTAAGCAATGCACTCGAACCCACATTTCTTGTGTCACTCAAGGATTAGCTCTGTTTTCCTGAATTTTATTTAAAAGTATCAATGTTAGTGAGCAACTAGATCTTAGTCAAATCCTAACATATAGCACATCTTTTAAAAATTATAAACTACAATAAAAAATAGGGATTGTCTAAGGGGTGCGGTTTGTATAGTGCCTAGGCTCTAAACAATCAAATTAGAGCCTACTTTCAAATGGTGTTGAGAAATGTGGGTTCAATCTTTGAATTTTTTGTGATAGCCTTAAAATGTATTTTTATTTTTATTTATAAAGTGTAAAACTTCAAAAATAGTATAGATCGATAGATCTATAAAAACTTGAAAATTAACAGTCTAAAAATGCATTACAAAATATACTATTTTCAAAACTTGAAATCCATTTTTTTCTCATGTCCATTCATCTTGATGTCGAGATGATCAATTTGAGGATATTTGGGCATCAAAACAACCTCTTCTAGTGAAAATTTTGAGGTAGGCTCTTATTTGATTGTTTAGAGCCTCGGCTTTATATACATTTTTCGCTTGTCTAAGAGACTATTTCCTTTTTGTACAAAGAGGTCTAAATCATTATTGTCTTTCAAATTTCAAAATGGATGGTTGTAAGAGTGTCATTGAATAAATACAAAGTTTTTTTAAAAAAAATCTTAAACTTCGTTACCTCCAACTTGACATCTAATGAGTGGAAATAGTTACGGCTTCTTAGTGATAAAGATAAATGGTTAGAGAACCCTACAAAAATAATAGATCATAAAAAAATATATAATGAGACCAATTAAATTTGGTACAAGGCCATTACAATTAATCTTGACTATTGAATGTGAAATTGGGTGGTTGCAATTACTCCATTGATCAAGGTCAAAGTTCAAAATAATTTTTTTCGAACTTTGTGACCTCCTTGTATTAAAAGTAAATAGTCTCATTATGTACATCCCCGCAAAGATCATATATCCAAAACTCAAACAAAATTGTTGAACTTCTTAATTTTCTTTTCCAATTCCTAATTCCTCTCTCATAGAAACTTATAATCTTGAGATTTCCAATGTAGTTTAAACGTACTTAGCAATACTCTCTTTAAAATAGGATTATTTCCAAAAAATTGTTTTTCTTTTAGGAAAAGGTTTAATATGCATGATTTCCAAAACAGCTTTAAACTTTTTGAAGATAACAAAATAAACAGTATCATGTCAGTCCGTAAAAATTTCTGAAAATATTTTTAAGAAATTATAGTTCTTTACTTTGTATCTATCTCTCAATGGACCAAGCATCTCTCTGGACTTGGATATAGAATTTAATATTCATACTTTAAAGTTTCAGCCTTAATTAATTTTGATTGGTGGAGTGATTAAAAATACAAGGTCCACATGATAATCAATATTTTGATGACTTACATTATGATTTGAAAATTTTTGTCATTTTTCTTTGTAGATCCTTGTTTTTACTAACCTCTTGAAGAGGTTATGTCAATCTAGTCTCACGAATTCCGAATAGCCCAAGATTTCACATATTGCCATGACCCTCTGAACCCTTCACCGAGTTTGCAATGCTATATTTTCAAGAAGCACAACTCGGAGGAATTATTCACTTGCAAACTTTTTAGTGAGAGAAGAAGAGAGTAGGGAGATACATGAGGTGGTCGAGAAAAGAAAGCAAAGCAACACCGGCCCGGAACTGGGCCGGGCCCGGCTGTGTTCAAATAACTCGGCTAAGTTGGGAAAGTCTTGGACAGGTCAAAATGTATTAAAAAATAAAAATACAAATAACAATCTTAAAAACTATGGAAAATATGTTTACAATAAAATTAAGCCAAACATATCTGAAGGAGATTAAAAAAGTAGTGAAATTTTGATATTTAAAAAGTTAATTTATGGCCACGAGTATTTTAAAATAATCCAAAAAAAGAATATATAAAAATAAATATTTACGGCCAAAACACTTCCCAATATTTGTCAAGATGATAAA